GTCTCTCCAAAAGACTTACAAAAACATCAGACTTAATGGTGAAATGCTGAAAGCTTTTCCTTTGAGATTAGGAATAAGATGTGTATATCCACTATCTTTATTTCTATAAGCCAGAGTCCTATCTAATGTAATTCAGCAGGAAAAAGAAATAAAAAATATAAAAGGATTGGAAAGAAGGAAATAAAATCATCATTATTTGCTGATTGTTGCATAAAATTTTCCTAGGAAACAATATGTAAATGTTAGAATTACTAAGAGGGTTTAGTAAAGTAGCTATTTTAAAAAATCAAAATACACACTAAATGCAAGGAAGTACCTTTGATTGTATCCTTGAAACACACACAAAAAAGACACTACTGGAAAAACTGGTGAACTCCAAATAAAATCTGGAGTTTATTTATTAGTAATGTATTAATGTTGACTTCTCAGTGTTGACAGATGTGTTAAGGTTACGTAAGATGTTAACATCAGGGAAAGCTGGGTGAAGGGTATACAATATAATAATATGAGCTTTATCTTTGCAACTTCTGTAAATCTAAAATTAATCCAAAATGAAAAGTTTATTAAAAGATTTCTTTATCAAAATTCAAAAGTAAATTGTAGTTGTATATACAAAACAGGTAATGAATGATTTTTTAAATTATACTGTTTATAATTGAATATTTTAAAAATCAAGTTCCTAGTAGCAAATAAAGCATGTATAAAACCTCTAAGAGAAAATAAAGAACCTTATTATTTATTAAGAGGTATTCAAAAAGACCTGAAAGATATAGCATGTTCATTGGTTAGAAAATTCAATAGCATAAAGGTATCAATTCCTCCCAACCTGATTTATAGATTCAGTACAAACCAAATTAAAAATTTCTATAGCCTTTTAAATTTCTTCCTAACTCTCCCTCCCTCCCTCCCGTCTCTCTCTCTGTCTCTCTCTCTCTCTCTCTCTGCAGAAGTTAACAAGTTAGTTTAAATTTAATAAAGAAATGCAAAAGATCAAGAATAACTAAGGCATAACTAAGAATGAGGTGGAAAGATCTGTCCTACCATATGATCTTTCCTGGAAGGAAAATGGGTTCATACCAAGGAACCCATGGGGCACTGAGAAGAATATGTTTATAAAAAAGAAACAGTTTACTTTTAACAAACAGTAGGCTACAGAAAATCCAGAAAATAGGTAATGTTGAGTCCTTATATGTATCAGGCACTGCTCTGAGCCTTTTTTGTGTATATACTCATTCAATCCTCACAACATTTCAAAGAGGTAGCTACCATTATTTCCCCATTTAACATCTTTAGGAAGCAGCAGGCAAAGCCAGGAATACCAGTGAGAACAAGGCTAGGCCAAGATCCACAGGGGATTCCCTGGTCCCCAAAGGGCTCTGGCTGCCAACACAGTCTAGAGGGATTCACACACACCCTGAGCTCCCTGTCTGTGCTCACCTGCTCTACAGATGTTATCTCCTGAGGTGGGCCCCAGGGAACCATGGGGACCTCTAGGGGCTTGTTCCAGGCTCAAATTAGCCCCAGCCTTCACAAAGTTCAGAAAGTGTTAGGAGGAAGTGAGTGGGCACTGGGGGCGTGGAGGGAGTGGGGATGCAGAGAGAAACTTCCCAGTGCCTTAGGATTCTTACTAGTGCCAAGAACAAACTGGGAATTCCCAGAAAATTTCCTTTTGTTTTTTCCTCTTTAGCAACCGTGCCCTTCGCAAGACCCCTGGCATCTAACAAAACTGCCAAAATTCTGTTTTCCAATTGTTATGCAAATTAACCCCTGCCTCGCCTGTCACTGGGGAGACACTGAGCAGGGAACAGAGAAGGAGGAGGGCTCTGCATGTCATGGCAGCAGGGGCCTGGGGACTGCGACCATGTCTCCCCACAATCAAGTACAGTCCTGGGCAGGGTGGGGAACAGCTGACGCCCGGATCACCCAACCAAGGTCACTCAGCTCTTTGAATTTTGGGAGAGGAGTGTCAAATCGGTCTTGCTCCTTTATGCTGGTAGTTACTAACTCAGGGTTACACCACCATGGGAGACTCTCTTACTACTCCCTGGCTCAGGAGAGGAAGGAAGTGTCAACTGAGAGGTCTGGGACCTCAGGCCTTAGACGTTGTGTACTAACAAACTTCGGCTGTCCTTGGAACTAAGGAGCAAGGGGAAATGGCCTGTGCCAAACAGCGTGTGACCTTCCCTTGCCAAACAACCCCCAAGGGCAACGCTAACAATAATAACAACTATTATTTATATTTATTGAAAGTTTACTATGTCCGACATACCTTTTAGGCTTTTCACAGCCCCTAGGGCCCCATAGGGAGACCCTCCTGGGCCCAATACGTAGATGCAGACAGAGGTTAAAATTCACCCAAAGCCAGCCTTGATAGGGAGGGAGGGAGCCTGGACTTGACCGTGGGGTGACTTGGGGGCCCACCCTCTTCAGCTTCTCATCACACTGTCCTCTAGTAGCCAGGGGCAGCAAGGAAGGCAGCTGTCCCAGCCGTGCTCTCTTCAGCCCTTGAGTCACTCTTCACACTGCTTGGGCCAGACCCAAGGACCCACACGGACTTTGGGGTCACCAGAGGCTCTCTCAGGACAGCTGTGGCTCACGTCATGGTTCTCTGTCTCATCCAGAGGCTCTTGGGGCAGGTTCTCGGGGCTGCAGCCAGTCCCTGATTCCCTGTTCCATCCACACCCCACCCTGTGGGCTCTGAGACCCCAAAGCAGGGGCTCAATGCCCTGTTGCTGAGCATGCAGGGTTGCACCGGCTCACAGGAAGTCATACGTTGTGGTTCAGGCACACGGTGACATCCCAGCCTCGACCCCCAGGCCTGGCTCTTTGTGGGCCTTCGTGCAGGCAGGTGCAAGGTACAGAATTGACACTGACAATCATTCCGCATTTGGGGTAGGGAATGCCCCCTCAACCCGGCCACACACATACACCCAACAGCTACTTATTTCCTGTGGACCACAATAGGTTTCCTTATTCGACAGAAGAACAAAGCCTTTTTAAGCCTCAGCCTGTACAATTATTGCCAGCCTATTTCCAGGCACTTGTAAGAATCCCTTCCATTACAACTGGCTGCTCTTTCTGCTCTGACAATGTTTAAGGCTTTTCTTTAACCATCCTTTTCTCTACCTGCAGCTTGGATGCATGCTCCCCAGGCCGCTGCCTCTCTTTTCTGCTTTGCCCTCCTCTTTTTGTCCTTCCTTTCATGGGTAAGATTGATCTCTGCCCAGTAAGCTTTGTGAAGTTTCCTGCTATCTCTTTCATCTTCAGCCTGCCTCCTCGGAGGTATTTTAATGGCAGCACCATATGGTAGGATCCATCCCCTTCCCACCCCTCAGACCTGAAAAGTTCCTTTCTGTTGCTCTGGGTCTGTCCACGTTTTATAAATGTTGGCCCATCAATTTATTTACTTCTTTATTGACTTCATCCTCTCTGGGACCTCAACTCTCAGAGGACAGTTACCCTTCCTGTTACATTCGATGCTACATCTCTGGTACCTAGGACAGCGCCAAGCACATGGTGATCCTCAGTAAATACCTGCCAAATTTGTTAAACCTACCAACAGAACATACTATTCAAATCACATCCCAACATAAACGCATGCCTGAGGAAAAGTATAACGGAGTGGTGAAGAGAGGATGAGAATGCTGGCCCGTCTGCTAGCTGGATGACCCCAGGGGGACACTAAGCCCCCCTCTGCCTTAATTCCCTCACCTGTGAAATGGGGTTATCAGTAGTACCTACCTCACGGCTATTGGAAAGAGTAAATGAGTCAATACACATAAAACACTTAGAACTGTGTCTGGCACAAAGTGAGTTCCAGTAAGCATTAGGTATTGCCATCATTACTTACTGTACAAACCCAACCTGTACTGGGGGCAAAAGGAGGGGGGACACAATCCCAGCATGTGAGGCAGCCAGACAAGCTGCTGTCAGGGAGATAGGAATGAGAGATGGTAGGACCCCTGGGGTCCGAACAATTATCTGTACTTGGGGGACTGGCAAAGGCCAAGCAGGGTCTTGAAGGTTGACTAGTTGGTAGTCTGATGCTAGACGGGAAAGGGCACTTCAGGCACATGACTGAGGTGTGGGGAGGGAGGTGGAGGTAAGGCTGGAAGGGAAGTTTCAGACCACAGTGTTAAACATTATACATTATACTTAAGTGTATACTAAAAGTAAAATAAAAGAAGCTATCCACTTGAGCTATTCAAAACTCTGTCCTCAAAATATCCCTAAACTATGCTTTCCTTTTCTTGGACTAAGAGAATTTCTTCTTTTCAAAAAACATGGCTGGAAGGTCACAAGGGAATAGTCACTTTTTCTGAGCCTATTCTCCAAAACTGGTGACTTTTCAACTATTTTTAAGGTATAGAATGACAGGATAGATCTTAAGACGATTATGAGAAAGAACTTAGAGGAAGCAGAGTGAAATCTACAAACACACCATGTGATAAGATCATAATCTTTATAATTTTTAATTTGCCAAACCTTCTGCCTTTCAAACTAACAACAACCTCTTAAGGCAAAGTCTCAATAATTCACTCATTCAATAAACATTTAATGAGCACATACTATGTGCTAGACACTGTTCTGGACCTTGGGAATAAAACACTGAGCCACACAGCCCAAAAAATCCATACCTTTATGGAGCTTGATTTTAGGAGAGGATAAATTTTAACTTGCTACTGATATAAGTATATGTGGAGCTCACCACAATAACTTGGATTTCCCATAGGGATTTAATTCATTAAAACTCAAGTCAAGAGGTATTTGCAGCAGGGGAAATTAGGAAAACTCAAGTAGAAAGATGGCCAGAGGAATCCTTTCATCAACCCACTCCCCAGGTTTCTGGCTTCCCACACCCATTGTTCCTGCCAAGGTTAGTCTCTAAGATCCCACGTTCTTGTGCTTCACCACCATCCTTCAGCCAAGCATTGGAAGACCATAACAGTTAGGGAAGTGTTAGGCAGCAAGTACCAGAGAACTCAACAACAAAGGTTTAAATGATGCAGACATTTATTGGAAGTGGTCTCACTGTTTATCTGGCAGGCCAACTGTGTCATTCTAGCTCTTGTTATCTTTCTGTTCTTCCATTCTTAGTACATCGGCTTCTCTTCCACATGCTTCTAGCATCATGATCCTAGGATGGCTGCCCCAGCTCCAGACATCACCTCTGCATTCAAGATGGAGAAAGGAGGGAAAGGCAATATCAGTGAGCTCTCAATATGTCTCTTATATAAACAGAAAGCCCTAAGGAGACTTCCTATTCTTATCATTAGCCCAAGCCAAGTCACATGGCCTCATCTAACCCAAGGGAGATTGGGAAATTCTGTATTTGGATTTGCAGCTTCCATAATTGAAGGCAGCAAGAAACAGAAGAGGGCCAAGAATGGATTGTGGAGGCAAACAACAACGTCTGCCAGAAAAGCCTTCACAGAGAAACCACAAGACAGCAGACCGAAGGTTGCTCAAACCATTTTAGGCTGGGGAATTTTTTGAAACGGAGGATAAACTGGCACATTTCAGGCTCAGTCCAAATATTATGAAGTAGATCAGAGCTAAGTCCATCTCAGAAAACACTCTAGGCTGGAAAGACCCTGTGCTGGCAGAAAAGCCCCTGGGTTCAGATGCAGCCCATGCAAGGAGTCAGTGCCCGGAACACAGACGAGGGGGTGTCTTGCGGAGAAGGCATGAACTGAAGATATTATGTGAATACTGGGGTCTCATCAGCTGTTAGGAATTGAAAACTAGTGGAGGGGGCACCTCCTACCTCATGTGGATCACATAAGCCCTTCGACCTAGGACACAGTTTTTTCTGGCATAAGGGTGGGACTCCGGAGCCAAATCTACTTTTCCATCAAGAATATCCTTCTATTATGATTAGCATGTATGTATAATGTGGGGGGCGGGGCATGGGGAGGGCTGTGCAACACAGAGAAGACAAGTAGTGATTCTACAGCATCTTACTACGCTGATGGACAGTGACTGTAAGGGAGTATGTGGGGGGGACTTGGTGATGGGGGGAGCCTAGTAAACATAATGTCCCTCATGTAATTGTAGATTAATGATACCAAAATAAGAAATAAAAAAAAAGAATATCCTTCTCCCCAACCAGCTAAATTGTATCCTTTATCCATGTTATGTAAGCACTTGCTACCACCATTATTATGGATCCAAGTGTCTCATTTACACCGACTCATGGGGCTTTGGGTACCCACACATGGGAAGTTGACAAGTGACAATTCAGTCAAAATAGAAGTTTGGCATGACACAGTAAAAAGGGAAAGAAAAACCCCAAAGTTGTGTGTGTGTGTCTCTGCATCTGTGTTTGTGAGAAAACACACCCACACAGAATGTTATTAAAAGGTCACACTGGCCTGATTACATCCTCAGCCCAGGCCTGTCCTTGTAGCTCTGACCACAGTAAAATGTTCTAATTCAGCAAGTGATTTGGGATATCTACAATGTCTTTGTTTTATCAGGACAAGTTAAACCAAGTTGCTCTACAAAGAGAAAACAATGCATCACGATGCTGCTGTGTTTAAAGACAGTCTCAGTAAAATGAGCCCCACCCTCTACAACTTGTGGATTTATCCATCTATTCATCTATTTATCTTTCCATCCATCCTGTATCCACTGTCTTTCCAATCCATCTATATGTCTAGGCACCCAGCCACCCACCCAGCCACCCACCCATCCATCCACCCACCCACCTGTTCATCCATCCATCCATCTACCCACATATCCATCCTCCCACCCAGTCACCCACCCAACCATACATCCACCCATTCAACAAACACTCATTCATTTCCTTAAGACTTTCACATCCTTTCTTCTTCCTTGCCTAACAGAAATGCACTTTCACCCCATTAAGCCTTCACTTTCCACAGGAAATGCCTTCCTTTTTGTCCATTTTGTGAAATCCCACTGATCTTTAATAAAATTCACAGTCGATTATTTTTGGGAAGATCCTTCATGGACCTCTACTGTAAGCCCATGGTGTTACCTTGCATCTTAATTCTTACGGAATTTATGTTTTGTTTCCCAGTTTTATTTTGTAGTAAATTACTGCCTTCTACATCTCTTCACTGTTGTATTGCACTGCCCTTGTCCTTGAAATTGAAATATTTTATGTCGTTTCTTATCTCCCCAAATAAATTGTAAACTCTGTGAGGGAAAAGACTACAGTTTTTACTTCTTTGCAACGTACCTCCACAGCTTGCTTTTTGCAAATTGTATGTACATTATGCAAATCGTATGTACTCAACAAATATACTTTGATGGGATATAGTTTCCTCACCTGTGAAGTGGGGATAATACTGTTGTTATAGGAATACTGTGAGGATTCACTGTATATTAAAGACAATGTATATTAAAGAGTTTCTTAAACTGCAAAGTTCTTAAAGACATTATTACTGATGATAATATTTGATCATTCCAATTTTAAAAAGTATTAATTAATATCCATGTACTGGGTTATCTACAATTTTAATCAACAAAAAGACATCCAATAAACATTTCATTAACACTTACAGAATCATTAGGTCCTGTGCAAAATACCAGAGCTACAAGGTGGATGGAACATAGTCCTTGTCTTTAAGGAGCTCATGTTTTACCAAAGGAGCAGAAAGTGATTATGGGTAAAGCTGCAGAAAGTACCAAAACACAGACACAAAGTGCTCAGAGACACTTAAGAAATCCCTTAATTCTGCCTGAGGGATTAGAAAAAACTTCAAAGAGGAATTGGCACTTGAAAGATGAATAGAAAGTCCAGTAGATGGAAAAAGAAGAAAAGAACAGAGAAGAAACAGCATAGAGTTGAGGTGTATGTTTGGGGAAAAGGAAACAGGATTGTCTGGTCACAGGCTAAGGCCCTAGGCAAAAGGGTTGGAGGACAGATTCTGGGAACCAGGGGCTCATGCCTGGACCACAAGCCCAGCAGGGGTTTTGTGAGCCAAGCAAAGGAACATAGGCTTGATTCCAGGAGCTCTGCAAAACCACAGAGGAGGGGAATTACTAGATTTGTATTTCAGCGAAATGACCATCAGTGACAACACTTTCTGCTGCAAAAAACAGAAACCCAATTAAAACTGGCTTAAATAATAAGGACATTTATTATCTCACCTAACAGGAGTAGGCAGGCCGCAGGCACAGGATAATCAACCCCTCAAGGACCCCTGATCTTTCTGTGTCTCCACTCTGCAAACTCTGCTTATCGCTTTATTCCTGAGGTGGGTTGCAAAATGGCAGTTGCAGTAACACATTCAGGCACAACCAAATCTTGAACCATCCTCTCCAGCAGATACCTCTTCCCAGGTTTCATTGGGTCACAAGGCCCTGTGGGAAGACAGAGGCATTTGCCATGGCTACCTTAGACCAATCCTCTGAGGTGAAATGATATTGGAGAGTCATCCGTGATGTCCACCACGAAGACCCTGCCCACCAGCATGCAGACAGGCTCAAGTGGGAGACTGACAGCAGGAAGACCAATTGAGAAGACAGTGCAACATAACTGGAATAAAGTCATCCTGGACCAGTGATGTGGTTTTGGGCATGAAGGAGAAGGAGTAATTGAAGACACATCTTGCATGTGAAAAAGAACTTGGCAATTTGTCATACAAGTGGAGTGAGAAGCCAGGAGTTGAGAATGTTCCAAGCTTCCAATCTTAGGTTACAGAGTGGTTAGTGTCCTATTGCCTGAGATGGGTGCCTGGGTGGTCCCCTGGCATGGCCTCCCAAGGCCTGCTCACAAAGATTGAAATCATGAGAAAAAGAGGATTCACTCTCTTTCCTTCTCCAAGAATTGGTGCAGTGTAGCAGTTGAAGGGCTGACTCTGATGCCATGCCCCTTGCTGCCCATTACTTACGAACTGAGAACCTCAAGGAAACTTGTGTTTCCCTACTTGAGAAGCAGGTGTAAGAATGCCTAGCTCATAGGGTTGTTGTGTCAAGAACTAACTAGAGTGTCCAACATAGAAGGGACATCACGGTAAGCCAGATAAGGAAGGGGAACAGAGTTCTAGCCCTCCTTAGGTCGCCCACTCACTGTATGACCTCAGTCTAGTTACTGCCATGTATTCAAACTTCAATTTGTCATCTGAAAGATGGAGGAAAGACCTGCTCCTGGGGTTGCTAAGGGGACTGGATTAGAAAATATGTCAAGTGTTAATGTGGAATTTTGGAGGTTTTTGGCTGCCCGAATGAGAGGCAGAGTCCTACTGTAACTAATGAAGTAGAAAATCCTGGATCCTCCTCTCCCAACCTCCCTTACAGCTCAGGCGCAGCCCATAACCAGGCACCGTCAGTCAGATCCATCTGCTCCTGGGCATTAGCGAGGTGAGGAGGGGAACTGAAGCTTTGTAGGAGGGATGGGTTGGGATAAGGGATGACAGTGATGGGCAGGTGACAGTGGTTCCACTCTCTGGCCCAGAGGGGTCAGCGGAGCAGGCTCTGGCTCCGGAACTCAATAGTGCTGGCAGCCGTGTTGTTTTTGTACTGAACCAGTTCTGTGCCATGGGTCTGCTGTTCTCTGACTGAAAATTCCCCTTGGTTCCTGACCATTTGCTCTGGCTGGCTATCTAGTATTTCTGAGAATTCTGGGGACTACCCAATAGCCTCCAAATTGTAGGGATTTTTTTCTGCTTTAATCTGCTTCGGTGATTTTCTGTGCTTATCTTAGGAATCCTGGCTACACAAGTACCTAGCAGGATGCCCAGCATGGGGTCGGAATCCCACACTGGTCCCTTTCTCCTTTTGGCTCCTATTCTCAGCGTCTTTCCTTTCACCCAAGTTTCATTTTAACTACTTGGTGTTCTGATCAGTGGGAGGAAACCCTCCCATTTAAAGAAGACAAGGAGTCACTCCATCCCATAATCACTTGCCTTGTGATTTCCCAGGAAAGATCATTCCACAGGCCAATAAACCCAGGGTGGAGAAAGCAAGCAACAGGGCTAAAGATCTAATTGCCCTCAGGTTTTAAAATGAAAGGAGTTTTAAGGGCAAACATAAACTTGTTCAACAAATCCCAAAATACAACAGTGAGGGACATTTGTAAATGCTTAGAAGCAAAATTTGGGGGACCAGGACACAGAAGTATTCATTCACATGGCCTTTTGGATTTCATAAACTGATGGGCCTAATTACGTACCTGGAAGAGGTGGAGTATAATGAAAT